ATGTTGATCTTCACTCCGTGCATCTACATCAGAACCATTATCTGATCCACTGGTAACATCACTACCAGGAACAGCAGAAGCAGAAGGACCCGAAGTTGCACTTGAACCTGTGAGCTGCGGTGAACCAGAAGAAAGAAGTGGTGAAGATATAGCAAGAGGATCAGACCCATGAGCGTCAACTTGACTTACCTTACCATCTTCAAGACGTTCAGGGCCTTTGACTTTCTCAGCGGGAGCTCTAGGTGGACCTTGTTCGCCTCTTTCACCTTCTTTTCCAGCAGGACCAACAGGACCAGGAGGACCAGCAGCACCAGGTTCACCTTTTGCTCCTTTTTCAGATTTAGGACACTTAGTCGTATCGGTTTGACGACCATCAGCAGGGCAACCACCATCATCAACCTCAGATAGAGACAGTTCAGAAGCATCAGTCGCCACACATAGAGAGATAAAGCTCAAAAGTAACGCCACCACATACAACACACGGTAAAGAAACATCACAGCAGCAGTTGTTTTCCTTATTTGGGGTATCTGAGCTGCAAAAAAAAAAAGGAAAAGAAAACGAACCGGACATAAAATAACCACAAACACATTCCCCAACGGTAACAGAGAAAACAAGAAGAAAAACAACAGTCATACAAAACAACACCACCGGCATACATGTCAACAACCACCACAAACAGAGCACCGAATCAAAAACAAAGAAAATTTTTTAAAAAGAATAGCCACTGCATCATCAATCACACAATTCAGAAAACTGTGGGAACTCCTGCGTTAATATGAAATTATAAATATAAATGTGTATTGTTTATTATTCATTCCTTCTACACGAAGAATAGCTGAAAAACAGTTTGCAGGGCCACAACAAGCACCTCAGCAAAACCTACAAGCAAGCAAAAAAAAAAGATATCAATCATTAGCCCAGTTTATCCATTAAACACACAGAAATATACACCAACTATGGGTGTAAATCTATATGTGTATATATACGCAATTATAAATATAAATTCATCTGTTATTAGTATTATTTCCTTTTCCCATTGCAAAAAGCAGTTCATCATCACAGTGCAAGCCCAGGTGCACACAGAAAAAAGAGTCTCCAAGAACACACACACACACAATGGAGTAGCAATAATAATTATTATAATATAAATATAGAGAGCAAAAACACAAAAAACACAATATCATTAAAAGAAACAAAAAAGAAGAAGAA